TAAACTGCTGCTGGACATTTACAATATGCGGTTAAAGGGGAACTGGTAAGCCCCTAAAGCTGGCCATAATTGTTGCAATCCGATTGTGCAATCTCCTTTATTCCGACCACACACAAACAATCTGATTGTACAATCTCCTTCTACCACTATGTAATACCAGAGCCAGCCTGATTGGATACAAATTGAATGGACTGCTTAGGTAGAACCTCCCATTTTGGTAAAGCTAAAAGGAGACTGTGCAATGTGCAATCAGATTGCATCATGTAGGGCCACCATCTCGGAGAATTGGGGCATTCTATATAATCAGGCTGACTTCTTTAAAAGAGAACTATGGGGTTAGGGCTTTTCCCCATAGTTCTCCTTAGGGTAACGGGAGGACACAAACTAGCGTCCTCCCGTCACCCTAGGCTCAGTATATAGGGAGCTTCTGCTCGCGGTATGCTGAGACGCCGCAGCTGAAGCGGATCCCGACAATTGTGCTGGGATCCGCCCAGCTGCGTGAGTGACAGCTGGCTCTGCTGAACTATGAGGTGAGTGAAAACCCCCCCCCCCCCCTCATAGTTCTCCTTTAAACTCGCTCTCGTATCTTTTTCCTGCATTGTTTTATAAATTGTATTTATGATTTTGAAAAGGCAAATGTGTTTTTAAATCTTTTCTAACGCTGGCCATACACATGACAATATGACCATTCCACAGAACAGGAAAGCAACCAAAACGGTGGGCGGTCCTTCCAACACACGATCATCTTCAGCGAAGAGGGACGATTGGTCCAGATGGAGAACCCAGCCAAATAGGACCATCTGGAGCTTTTTCCTGGCATGGCGGAAGATTGATTGTTTATAAAGAGATTCATCGGAAGGACGCAATCTACGATCGCTCCTTTATATGGCCCCGTTCACACTGAGCGGGTTAATCGCGCGATTTTTCCTGCGGAATCGCGCCTATTTCCGCGCGATATCGCTCTATGTAGCTCGCCCAATGCATTTCAATGGAGCTGTTCACGGCTCAATGTGGCCTGTAGCTCGTAGCTGTAGCTTGTCGCTCGAACATTAACCCCTTTTTGGGCGGATGTTGCACGATTCGGCTCCAACAGACTCTATAGTGTCGTGCAAAATCGCGCATTACCGGCGATATCGCGCTATGCGGATCTGCAGACGCGGTGCTATGTGTTTTTGCCACGTTTTTGATGCGTTCTAGTTTTAAAAAAACAACTTTTCTTTTTTTTTTGCGTGGGGCTGTCAGTAAGTTAGCTGCAGTGCCGTGCGTTTTGACGCGTTTTTTGCGTTTCTGGACCGTTTCCTGACCGGACAAAATGTGACATGCAGTATTTTTTCTGTCGTAATCTGAACGGACTGCGCACGTGAGAACTGTAGCCCATAAAACACATAGGGATACATAGGGATGCATTTTTAGTGAAGGAGCGTACGCAGGGCCGGCCTTAGGGGTGCCATGGCAACAAGGGCGCCGTGCGACCGACACAGCTCGTCCTGGGGGCGGCTTCTCTCCCCCTCACCGCTGGCCATCTGATATGACAGCGCTCCCTCGTCCGCCCCCCACTTCAGGGGGAGGGCAGGAGTTTGGATTCAGCCATTGGCGTGTTCTGGAGGCGGGGCGTATGACGTCATATAACACCGCACGTGTTGGGCGCCGCCATCTTGGTGTATATCTAGGTATACACCAAGATGACGGCGCATATATCGGCGTGTGACGTCACCTGACGCCACGCATGCATGGCGTCATGTGACGTCATGCTCCCTGCCTCCAGGGGCGCTGTAAAGCTTTCTCGCACAGGGCGCCTAAAGGCCTAAGGCCGGCCCTGAGCGTACGGATCAGGTCTGCACAGAAAACGGGCGTCATGTGAACAGGCAAAACGTTTTCTTTAGCTCTTGGCGCTAATGGCTGCCAGCTGAACAATCCACTTGCTGTTGCACATCAGGCTTTAACAACAAATGAGAGGCCACACTGTCTGTTAACCCAACATGGTATATCCCCGACCATGTAACACGGTAGTCTCCGGTCACATCACCGTCCACCGACCGCACTCTGCCAAGATTGACGCGTTTCAGGGGCAAGCCCCCTTCCTCAGAGTCATGTGGACAGGCCCTTAGCCCTCATTCACACTGGAATCGGCCCGTACGGCCGCGTAGTCCCATAGAGAAGGACGGGGGCTGTGTACTAATCACACGCAGCACCTGTCCTTCCCGGGAGGTGCCCGATACGGCCGCGCACGCAGCACGGAGCTGTACATGCCGGTCGTTTCCAGTGTGAATGAGGCCTAAAGTGACATTAAACTCAGGAGATAAATCTTAAAAATACATTCAACTACCTGAACTATTAACAACATTGGGGGGAATGACAAATCTGGAGCAGTTGCCCATGGCAACCAATCAGCTTCTCTCTTCAGTTTGCTCAATGTAAGATTTGAAAATGAAAGTGACGAGCTGATTGGTTGCCATGCACAGCTGCTCCAGTTTTGATAAATTCCCCCCACTGTATCTTATTTGTGTATCACTCGGGTGTAGATCCTCCAATCATCTCTGAATTGGTGCTGACACTGTCCTTCCTTCTGGAGGGGGGGCTACGTCTGTTCCCCATGGTCCCTGTGTGTGTTGTAAAGTAGTCACCGCTCCAAGCTCGCTCCCGGGATGGACTACAATCTCAGGTTTAGTTTACTCATTTGTATTAAGATTGTCTTCAAGGCCACAAGCATTCTTGTGTTAGCTCAGTGACCGAGGACGCAGGACACAGCCAGAAAACGAGCAATGCATCACAACTGACCGGCTCCTTGTGCTGCTTCTCCCTCCCCAGGTTTGAGCTCTGCTCTATGGGGGCTGAAAGAGGCTGATACCCGGTCACATTAAGGGCTTGTTCACACCAACTGCGGTGCGTTGCAGAGCGGTAGCTGCTGGAACGCGCCGCAAATCGCTCACAAAACTTCCCCCTGCGTTCTGGGGCGGGAGGGGGCGAGGCGGTGTATTGAAGTCAATGGCACCACAGCCACGCCCCACCGCCCGCAGTGCGCTCGGACACGTGGCAAAACATTGCCTGCATTCCGGTCCTCTGCAAACGCAAAAAATGCTGCTTGCTCTTGACTTCAATGCGCCGCCACGCCCCCCTCCAACCCCAGAATGAAGGGAGAAGTTTTGTGAGCGATTGCGGTGCGTTCCAGCAGCTGCCGCTCTGGAACGCACCGCAATTGGTGTGAACAAGCCCTCGGGGACTTCGCTTGCAAAGCACGTGATGTTGTATTAATGTATCCAGAGCTGCACGAATGTGTCTGCAGTTTTAATTGCACCTCACGCACGTACACAACGCACAGATGCAATCCCTGACATTGTGGTGCGCTGCGGTTCAGGTGCATTAGCAGCCTTTTGAGAACGTCAACGCAACACACAAGACGGCGCAGGCTGTGGTGTGGGTGGCCCCCTCGTTCCTCTTTATGATAATGCTGCTTAGTACATGACGCCCTCTGCGTTTTGGTCTCCCGAGCCTCAGGAACGCGCAGCTCCTCGGGCCGGGGAGACGGGAACATTAACGGGAGCTGCGCCGCCGCCGTCGCTCCATTGAAACGCCGGCCCTGACGGCGGGATTAGTCATTAGCGCTTTGTGACTCAGCCGCCCTCCTATTCACACCGAGCGACGACGAGGACATGAAAGGCGAGAACCCGCTCAGCTTTTGTACCCGGCGAGCGCCCACATTCCTCCAACCTCGCAGCGCCTCCTTACAAGCGCTGCGTGTGTCAGCCGGGATTTTAGGCACCGCTTTGACGCGCCGCATGGCTGCCCGCGTTTTGCCGTCTGTGCCAGGAACGCTCGCTGAACGAGGACGTCGTCTGTAAAGACTACAGAATGCGATACACAAAGATAAGAGGACCTGTCATCACATGGATTTTCCATGTTATGTCCCGTGTATGCTGAATGTAAACACTTCCAGGTATGTATCACCTCTCACTGAGATCACAGGACTCCCCCTGACAAGGCCTTCATCTGATTTTCTCTCCAGAAGGACGGCAACATCTTTATTCAGGCATCATCCGGGGTCACATCTACTTCCTGGACTGAGATGCTGAGCTCAGAGGTGACACAATCATGTAAATTCTGGTGTCTGTGCGGTTTCTGACTGTGTTCACAAATGTCTGACTCAGATCAGCTCCTGCTGCAGCCTCTAACCTTGTGACTGAAAAAAAAGTTACAATGTGCAGCCTAATCACTGGGGAAGG